ACATACCCGAAAGATGGTCGTCCAGCCTCCACTTGGAAACGTCCAGCAAAGGAGCATCCACCACCTCCTGAGGCAGGCTGTTCCACGGCTCAACCACTCTTACAGTTAGGAAGTTTCTCCTGATATTTAGCCGGTAACGACTCCCTTGTAATTTCCACCCATTAGATCTAGTCTTGCAATGCGGAGCAAGAGAAAATAGATCTGCTCCATCTTCTACATGACAGCCCTTCAGATACTTGAAGACTGCAATCATGTCCCCTCTAAGCCTTCTCTTTCCCAGGCTAAACAGACCCAACTCTTTCAGCCTTTCCTCGTAAGACTTGGATTCCAACCCTCTCACCATCCTGGTTGCCCTCTTCTGGACACGCTCGAGCTTGTCAACATCCTTCCTAAAATGTGGTGTCCGAAACTGGACACAGGACTCCAGGTGGGGCCTGACCATAGCAGAATAGAGCTTCACTTAGAAGGCGAAAGATCCCCCTACAAACAGGAAGACAACAAAAAGCTGGTTAGTCCTTAGGGGGCCACCACGGCGCTCCTGTTGATCGCAAGCACTGCCCCTCTTGGCATCCAAATTCTATGTTAACCGACGGAGCGAGTCCAGCAGTGGTCTTCCACCGTCTTCTGCCCACATGCCTCCCTTCCCAGATGCACTCCATGAACGGCTACCACCCCCTTTCCCCCCGAAAACGTCCCTTCTCAGAGATGTTGGTCAGTAACTTGCGGTGCCAGTTTGTAGTCCGAGGCAGTGGTAAGCAGGGAAAACAGGAGGTACCCCACATCTATGGGGCTCACTGCCTCAGGAAGGTCACCAACACACAGACTCGAACGTTCTCTGGAAGACTGGCACAGCCCAGAATATCTGTCCAAGCAGTGGCATTATTGCTGAACGGACACCCTCTTTGTAGGGAGTTGGTTACGTAGAGCTGAAATGACTTTCGGGGGGGGGGGGGGGAGACGTCAACGTCAGTGTTCCCTCTAAGCTGTGGAGTCTTGTGAGCAAAGACAGTGAGCTACTGTCATCAAAGCTGTGAGCAAGCGATTTGGCAGCTGTATAAATTAGTTTGCTCTGGGGCCATCCTTCCTGAGCAAAGGTGAAAAAGTGTGAACTGGAGGCTAAAAAACTGTGAGCCGGCTCACGCTAACTTAGCTTAGAGGGAACACTGGTAGCCGTGTGGGTCGAATCACATCTTCCTTTTTGAGACGTCGTCTTCCTATTTGTAATGGGATCATTCACGCAAGAGCATGGATACAGCAGGAAGATCAAGATGGTCCGTGCTAGTCTGTCTGTAGCAGGAGAAAAGAGCAAGCGTCCAGGAGCACCTTAAAGACTAACAAAAAAGAGCAAGAGTCCAGTAGAACCTTAAAGCGGGGGTGTCGAACTCATTTGTTACGAGGGCCGGATCTGACATAAATGAGACCTTGTTGGGCCGGGCCGTGTGTGTCATAAAATGTGATGCCAGGTAGCAGAGATATAAACTTTATAAAGGACACACAAACACAAAGATTTTTTTAACTGAAAATAAAAACATGCTTAAAACATTAGCTCTGTAAGCTGCAAAACTACTTTTGACTTACTGACATTCTTCACGGAAATCTCATGCTCAGAGTTCTGAGTCTAGGACCCAGGGGGAAACATGAGATGGCTGAGTGATTAAGAGAGTCTGACGAAGCGAGCTATGATGCAGCAGCAGCAGCAGCAGAACGGGAAGCAGGAAACGGCCAGTTCCACAGCGGGCCTGATGGAAGCCCTCCGGGGGCCTCATCCGGCCCCCGGGCCGTTTGTTTGACACCCCTGCCTTAAAGACTAACGGAGTTCATGGCAGGATACTTCTTCAGATACCAAAGAGCACGAGTCCAGTAGTGCCTTAAAGCCTAACAACATTTGTGGCTGAGGAGGAGATTGAGCGAGTCGCTGGCTCACTTCTTCAGGTGCCAAAAAGCAAGAGCCCGGTAGTGCCTTAAAGCCTAACAAACTTTGTAGTAGTGTTGTGCTTTTGTGAGTCACTGCTTCAGGTACCAAAGAGCAAGAGTCCAGTAGCATCTTAAAGCCTAACAAAATTTGTGGCAGGGGAGGAGCTTTCGTGAGCCACTGCGTGACTCACAAAAGTTCCTCCCTGTCACAAATTTTGTTAGGCTTTTGGGGTGTCACCTGACGCTGCCACCACTCTGGGTTTAGGTTCCCTTGAGAAGGCCCAGAGCAGCCTCCCAAGACCTTCAGACCTCCCTTTTGGCCAAATAACAGGCGTGAGGACCAGGCAGAGTACAAGGAAAAAGGTTTATTTTATAGGAGGTCAAACAACAAGGTGCAGAATTATAACAGTAAGTGGGTGAAAAGAAATCAAATGCCCTAACGCACGTCTAAATATATACTGTCCCTAGCTCACTATTCCAAGTGGCACTAGACTACTCACCCTTCCCTCAGGATGAGGGTTTTCCTCCTGCAGCAGCCTTCCTTCTGGCTCTGCCCTCTGGAAGAAAGAACAGCTTCTGTTCTGGCACCAGCCCTTTTGTTCCCCAGCCCTCTTCTTCCCTATTGGTCCATTTTGGCTCCAAAACCTCCCAGGGGCTTCTGGGAGTTGTATGCCTAGTCTCACCTACTGCTACACAGGCTTGCTAGGCCTGCTAGGCCGTGCTTACACAGCCCAGATCGTGACAAGGGTGCTCACGGACTCTTGCTCTTTTCTACTCCTATGAATACAGCAGATTGCTTACCTATTTAAAACACTGATAAGCCGCCTTTCCCCTAACCTCTTGAGAGGTTCCTCTTCTCAGAGTTTGTGCTGGGCCTACCTGGGACAGAGAGAGACCCTCGGCACGACACCCAAAACCTCTGTAAACTCCAACAGTTTCTTCTCTTTGGCAGCCCGTTCCGACCGCTACCACCACATCAACTCCTATGACGAAGACGACACGACAGAAGATGAGCCGGTGGAGATCCGGCAGTTCTCGTCCTGCTCCCCCCGAAAAGGTGGAGTCCTCACTGGTTGCGATGCATTGAATTTCGTCGTTTAGTCTTATGCAACGTTCCCTCTAAGCTGAGTTAGTGTGAGCTAGCTCACAGTTTTTTTTAGCCTCCAGCTCACACATTGTTGTCTCAGCTCAGGAAGGCTGGCTCCAGAGAAAACTTAATTTATGCCGTAGCCAAATCGCTCGCTCACAGCTTTAATGCCAGAAGCTCACAAAGTAGAATTTTTGCTCACAAGACTCCACAGCTTAGAGGGAGCGTTGGTCTAGTGAGCTATAGAGGAGTGGGGCAGGCACAGAGGATGAGCTGGGAAATCCCGGGTTCCGATTTTGCTTCAGTTAAGAAGCTGCCATTCTTCTTCACTTTAAAAGATGCTTCATGGGGAGGGCGGGGTATGAATTAGATGGATGGATGGATGGATGGATGGATGGATGGATGGATGGATGGATGGATGGATGGATGGATGGATGGATGGATGGATGGATGGATGGATGGATGGATGGATGGATGGATGGATGGATGGATGGATGGATGGATGGATGGATGGATGGATGGATGGATGGATGGATGGATGGATGGATGGATGGATGGATGGATGGATGGATGATAAATCATAGAATGTTAGAGTTGGAAGGGACCTGCAGGTCATCTAGTCCAACCCCCTGCACTCTGCAGGAGCATAGCCGAAAGATAGCTGATAGATAGCTGATAGGTCGGTCGGTCGGTCGGTCGGTCGATCGATCGATCGATCGATAGAGAGAGAGAGAGAGAGAGAGAGAGAGAGAGAGAGAGATGGATGATTAATGGATGATAGATGGATGATAGATGGATGATAGATGGAGGAGAGATAGATAGATGATAGATAGATGGATGATTGATGGATGATTGATGGATGATTGATGGATGATAGATAGATGGATGGATAGATGGATAGATAGATGGATGGATGATAGCTGGATGGATGATAGCTGGATGGATGGATGGATAGATGGATGGATGGATAGATGGATGGATGGATGGATGGATGGATGGTTGGATGATTGATGGATAGATAGATAGATGATTGATGGATGATTGATTGATTGATTGGATTTTGTCCGGCTTGAAAGGGCAACCCTGTTGGTCTGAAGATAGTTTCAGCCCGTAGCCATGTCGGTCTGCAGTCAAAGAGCCCGATTCAGGTCCAGCTGTGTCTTAAGAGACCGACCAGATTTTCAGGGCATGAAATTTCGAGCGAAAGGCAAAAGGGAACAAAAGCCCAACCTGAAAATCGAGTCAGGGACCGAAAGGTCAAGCAACTAGAAAATAAAACAAAATGCAGCTCTTTCTTACAAATCCTTATGACAAATTTGTTACAAATTACAAAATCTTAGGATTAAAAACGACATACGTGAGGTACCATTAAAAAGTCAGATCATAGCATTCAGCGACAAGATGAAGTTACATGTCCAATAACAGAGAATCACAATAATAGTTACGCATGTATATTAACCAAAGGGCTCAATGCGTTTCGGCCCTGAGGGCCTTCTTCGGTGGTCAAAATTGTGCTAACTCACAGAACTGTTAACTATATCAGTGTAAAATATCTTTTTTTGAGGCTAGGTAGGTCACTAAAAAAGTGCAGTCCCAAATAATGGTGTCATGATTCTCTAGCGGTGCGGCCTACAGGCTCTCGGGAGGCCTAGCAGCTCCAGGGAAGCTTGTATTCGAGTGGCTGTTGGGGCCTTCGTTTCCCAGGTCACCCTTTAGGCTCTGTGATTTATTATTTGCTGGTTTACCTGCCTTTTACTGTGCTCATTTTTCCTGCACATTATTGAATCATCGTTATTGTTAAATCTCTTTAATAAAAATGGTTTGTTACTCAAAGTCAAATACCTTTAATGGCATAGCAGTAAGTACATAGATGTACAATAACATGGTATGGATATATAAAACATAATAATATAAGTCAGTCCTTGACTAGAGTAGATCTAACTTTGACTACTTCGGCAAGAAACGTGACCACTAGAGCTGTAATATTAGGATTAGCATCCTTTAGGAGGCATTGAATAGCTTTTTCCCTATTAGAACTATAATTAGGAGGAAATAAAGATGACGACAATTCTTTGCGTAAGACTGAGTGAAATTGGCAGTCAAAAATAATATGCTATATTGAATCCACAGATTTTAAAGGACAAGAACATAACCTCTCATGAGGGGGAATTTTATTAAACCGACCTGAAAGCTCTTTCGAAGGAAACACATTTAGTTGGGCTAGTGTAAAGGCTCTACGGTGCGAAGGCCGGACTACGTTGTGAAGATAGTGGGCCATCTGGCCATATTGTATTGGGAGATTCAACTGAGCCTGAGAAAGTATGCAAAATTGTGCAGGACGTAAGATTTGGAGTTCAAGGTCAAGTAATCTCTTTAATAATCTGGAAAATAGGGACTTCATCCAGTGAATAGAAATACTCTAAGGAAAAGCCAATTTGACTAATTTCCTTCTCAATATATGACAACCAGGATGCGCTATAAGCATCATTTTTAAACTGTGAGATCAAAAAATTTGGTGACTATCTGAAATGTATTTTCAACCAAAATTTAAAAGTTAATAACCAACATTTAGTATTTATAAAACGTTGGCCCAGTTCTAAACAAAGAGAAGAGTATGGAACACAGTTAGAAACGCCTAGAAGTTGGCGAAAAAGACAGGCCTGTAGTCTTTCAAGGTTGTTATTAGTTTGTTACTCTGCCTGGATCCTCTCGCCTCATTCGGTCACTTGTAAGGGGAACCTATTGGAAAAGGAGTGTTCAAAAGGGACCCCGAGGAGATCCATACCAAAGTCATGGCCGCCAGTAGAGAACCTTTCTAGACACTGCCTGCGACAAATCGTTGTGAGTCAGTTCTGCATAAACTAAGGAGCTTTTGCTCATCAGAGAGGGGATCTCTAGTTTGCACATGAACACACGCTGGGAATTTATCTACCGCCCATGACAGAATGGGGGTCCTTAGTTACCATCTCTGATGAGTGAGGGCTCCTTAGTTTATGGAGACTTGACTTCTAACCATTATTTGGAGCTTCACTTTTTTAGTGACTGATATACAACCTGCCTGGGCTCAAAAAGATATTTTATATTGATATAGTTACAGTTTTGTGTGCGTGTTAGTACAGTCTTGACGACTGAAGACGGCTCTTTGGGCCAAAACGCATTGGTTAATATACATGTGTAACCATTATTGTGATTCTCTGTTATGTGACACGCGACTTCACCTTGTTGCCATATACTATGATCTGACCTTTTAATGGTACCTCACATATGTCGTTTTTAATCCTAAAATTCTGTGTACTGTGTATAAATAGCTTTATTTTATTTTATTCTCTAGTTGCTCAACCTTTTGGTTCCCAATAAGCTTTTGAGCATCTTCATCCTGTATCCTAAGCTTTTAAGCCCCTTCAGTTTGGTGTAGTGGTTAAGTGCGTGGACTTTAATCTGGGAGAACCGGGTTTGATTCCCCACTCCTCCACTTGCACCTGCTGGAAGACCTTGGGCAAGCCATGGTTCTGTCAGAGCTGTTCTTGAAAAAAAAACAGTTTCTCTCAGAGCCACCTACCTCACAACTCTAAGCTGAGTTGGGGTGAGCTAGCTCACAGTTTTCTAGCCTCCAGCTCACACATTTTCGTCTTAGCTCAGGAAGGATGGCTCCAGAGCAAACTAATTTATGCAGTAGCCAAATCGCTGGCTCACAACTTTAATGCCGGTAGCTCACAAAGTTGAAATCTTGCTCACAAGACTCCACAGCTTAGAGGGAGCATTGCTCACAGGTTGTCTGTTGTAGGGAGGGGAGGGGAGGGGAAAGGAGTTTGTAAACTGCTCTGAGACACCTTTGGGTAGTGAAGGGTGGGGTGTAAATCCAATCCCCTCCTCCACCTCCTCTTCTTCTTCTTCCTATATCCTGAGCTTGGACTCTGGAAAGCTGATACCCCGACAGTCTTTTCACCCCGAAGATGCTCCTGGCCTTGAATCATCGTACCTTTCGGATGGCCCCGTGGCTCGATAGGTCAACAGATGACCCGAAAACGATGCTGCAGAGCCCTCCTTGGGGGCGGCTGTCTTCTCTAACGCCTTCTCTGAATCTTTTGTCACCTGCCCCCCAGGTGTACAGCAGCATGGAGCACCTGTCCCAGCACGAGCAGAAGGCTCCCAGCGTCACGAAGCGGGACCAGAGCAACAAACACAAGGACGAGAAGATGGGGAAGCGGGAGAGCTTGGGCAGCTTCACGCTTCGAGACAAGAGCTGGCGCACGAACTCTCCGGAGATGTGAGTCCTACTCAGCACACGCCTTCAGCCAGGGCTCCTTTTCTAGACCCGGAGGAAGCTACGTGACGGGGAGAATTGGGGGAGGGGGGCCACAGGGCTGCGGCCTTTTGTCCAAGAGATAAACCCCGGGGTTTCGAGGGTGTTCAAGGGATCTACTCACACCTTCTGTCCCTCAGATCTTTGGGAGCTGGCTATTCTTAGCCGTCGTCAGGGGTCATTCCGTAGAAAAAGAGGTGCAGGAGCTCATTAGCGTAACCCATTAGCATAACTTATTTGCATATGCCACACCCCCTGACATCACCGGAAGTGTGTCAGAAGGCAACACCCACCGCTCAGGCTCCACTGGACTGTTTTGGATTCCTAGCTATTGGGGGGGGGGAATGTGAAGATCTGTCCTCGCAGAGGAGGGAGAGCTTGTACCTGAATAAAACTTGGTCTTAAAGGTGCCACTGGACTGTTTTGGATTGCTAGCTACTGGGGGGGAGAATGTGAAGATCTGTTCTCGCAGAGGAGGGAGAGCTTGTACCTGAATAAAACTTGATCTTAAAGGTGCCACTGGACTGTTTTGGATTCCTAGCTATTGGGTAGCAGATCTGCCCTCACCGAGGAGGGAGAGCTTGTACCTGAAGGCGGGCTGGGGGGGGGGGCTCAGGTCGGGGGGGGGGGGCTCTGCGACTTACCTAGCTGCTTCTTGCTCCTCGCGGCCCGACTGAGGGCTGCTGGGAGCAGGGGGCGGGGCTTGTTGCATGTGCCCACCCCCTGGGCTCCTTACTGCCGTAGCTCCACTCCTGTGAGCTCCCATAGGAAATGACCCCTGGCCGTCGTTGAAGGCAAGGAAGTCCCTTCCTTAACATCATTTCACACGCCCGCCGGGGGGGGGGGTATTAGTGTCAGCTGATTTTTAAACGGTCGACGGATTCGTTCCATTACAAACCTTCAATGAATTCGTCATCTCGGTGACCCAGCAAACCAATTAAAGCCGCGTGTTAACCTTTAAAGAAAGTTATGTATTTCGAAAGCCTCAGAGCTTTGTTCAGATATCGAAGGAAATATGAGATTATACAGTTTGATGAAAGGAAGCGATTGCCCCGTGTGTGTGTGGCTGGGGGGGGGGAAGCGGTCTATCTCCATCTATTATTGTCTTTTTCATTCCTTATTATAGGTTGTGGCAGAAGAGCCTCAAAAATAATTCCGTTTAAAATTTGAACCCACCGAACCTGTCGCTCAAGTGTCCCCAGCCCTTTTGAGTCTGCAGGCACCTTTGGGATTTCTAGCAGTGTGGGGAAGGCAGCCACAAAATGGCTGCCGCAGGAGGCAGAGCCTGCCACAAAATGGCTGCCTCCGCTTACCTCAGTCACACAGTCAAGATCGTTGTGCTCTGGTGGCAGCTGATCAGATCTTCAGTGGCCTGTCAGAAGCCTTGCTGGGCAAAGCTCCACGTGGCCCTGGCCTGTCGTCTAAAAACACTTGGCGGGCACCAGGAAAGGTGTCATTGGGCACCACGGTATCTACAGTCATCATGTCGGGGCCCATGCTATAGCCCTGATTAGATTTCAGATCTCCATTGAACCAGTTGTGGGGTAGTGGTTAAGAGCGGCGGACTCTAATCTGGGAGAACCGGACTTGATCCCCCCACTCCTCCACTTGCAGCCAGCTGGGTGACCTTGGGCCAGTCACAAGTTCTCTCAGAGCTGTTCTCTCAAGAGCAGTTCTCTCAGAGCTCTCTCAGCCCCACCTACCTCACAGGGTGTCTGTTGTGGGGAGGGGAAGGCAAAGGAGTTTGTATGGGCCAGTCACAAGTTCTCTCAGAGCTGTTCTCTCAAGAGCAGTTCTCTCAGAGCTCTCTCAGCCCCACCTACCTCACAGGGTGTCTGCTGTGGGGAGAGGAAGAAGACTTGTAAGCCGCTCTGAGACTCCTTTGGGTAGTGAAGGGCAGGGTATAAAACCAACGTCTTCCTCTTCTTCCTCCTCCTCCTAGCCAGTGTGTTTGCTTCTGTCTCACAGGAAGCGCCTCTCCGCCTCCGAGTCGTCTTACACAGAAAGCGACTCCAGCCCCCCCTTGGGCGCACGCCGCCGTTTTTCGGCCCTGATGGACACCAACCGTTTTGCTGTGCCGCTGGAAACCGACAGTGAGACGCTGGCCAAGGGGCCCGTGAAGGCTCTCGCGGAAAACGGGGCCGCAGGGGCCGCTCCGCAGGCCGAGAGCAAGGAGAGCAAGGAAGGGGCGCCTGCCGACGCGGGGCACTGCCCTGCCCCTGGAGAGGTCGAGGCAGGTGAGCAGCGCTGAAGGCCATGCGGGAAAGCCCTTTGTGAAAACGTGTCACTCTGGTAGGTTAAGGGAGTGACAGACCGGAGGCGACCGTGAGATAGGCCTACAGGACCCTAACTAGGGGGTCGCTGTGGCTCTTTGTATTCTTTTGTCAAGTCAACAGAATTCCTCCTGTCCCTTCCCGTCTCCTCTCCGGGGAGATACATTTTGGCCCACTTTTGAGGAGAGGGGAAGAGAAGCGGGCACGATACGGGCAAAGGCATTTCGATGTCTGCCGAAAGGCTCCAACGTCTCCGGTCCCATTTCGATGTCGTTGTAAACCTCAGGAAAACATTTGGCCCATAAAGGCCTCCCAGCAGATAGGTTTTATTACGCAATAGCTAAACCGTTGCCGGTAGGTGCAGGGCATGTCTTGCTGCAGCTGACAGCTGCAGGGAAATTATAATTTCCCAGCACTCAGAGTGGCAATTTTTTTTTGTTGCCCGGAAGATGTAAACTCTCTGTCTCTGTCTCTCTGTCTCTCTGTCTCTCTCTCTCTCTCTCATTCCTCGGGGCGGGGGGAGGCGCACACCTCTCGCAGTTGTGCTCTGTGCAATGTGGTTGACTGAGTGTCAGGAGCAAAGATTGGATACAGGCCCGGGCAAGAAACATTTTGGTGCGTGAGGCAGGAAATCAAAGTACCGGTCCCCTCCCCGATAATCCCATTCATTGGTGCAGTGCCCAGTCTTTTCAGCGGTCCTTCTGTAGGAGATCTAACCCAGTCGACGGGGTGCCCCGTGGGTTGGATCTGTCTGCCTCCCGTCTGGGGCTGCCCTTGGTGTTGCCTGGAGTCTGCCCCCCGTCAGAGGCCCTGGAGCCACCCCGGGTCAGCCGCTTCCTTTTACGTTGTGCTTCGTAGCCAAGTGGAGGATTCGCCTGGCCTGCTGCAGAATATTCGTGGAGTCCCTTTAAAAACGAAACAAGCATGCACTAAAAAAAGGGGTGGCGCTCTCTCCGGTAACACCCAGTCGTTTCATTAATGGCTTTATTTCCCAGGGGTTTTTTTTTGGGGGGGGGGACATGACTTCATTCTTTGAAGGTTGTGGGTGTCCCCCCCCCAGACCCATAGCCAGGATTTTGTGGCTTGTGGGGGCAAACAAAAAAAATTCTGGTTTGGCGCCCCTCTCCATCCCCTCCTGCAAGATTTAAAGGGCTCTTCGGCTGATTTGCGGGGAGCACGTGACCCTCCGATCAGCCGGATTTCCCTTTAAAACTTTCAGGAGGGGAAGGGAGAGCGGTGCGCTACGCCCAGATGGCCCGATCGGCTTCCCCGCCCGGAGATTGACGCGGCAGCTGTCGATGCTCGAAGATTCTGAAAAATCATGAGATCTTTAAGTGGGTTGCCTCTGTTTCTTGTGTTCTTCTACATTTGTAGAATCATCGGGACTAAGGCTGAAGCGTGAGGTTGTTTTCACGTTTTGTCAGGGACATGTCTGACAAGACATGTCTGACAACACAGTCTCGTACGGTGGAGCTCTGATCTCAGGAGAACGGAAGGTCTGGCAGTCGGGTTCCTGTGCTTGTGGCACGCAGGGCCCCCCCCCCCAGTGGATCAAAGTAACAGCCCAAAGCACTGTAATAAGACGCTAAATAAGAATCGAATAAATTAATTAACTTGTGTGTACTTAATTTCATATTGGGCAGCATTTGTATACTAAAGTTTATAAAATGTATCAAAGTATTAGAGATATTTATATAACCCTGATTTGTTCTCGATTTCCTGGGAGAAATGAAAGATTTTACCTAGATAAGTTGCTGGCGGACAAAGACCAGGAAACTACTTTAAACATGGCAGAATTTGCCATAGGTAAAGGTAAAGGTTCCCTTGCTCGAAAGCCAGTCGAATCCGACTCTAGGGATGCGGTGCTCAGGTCTGTTTCAAAGCCGAAGAGCCAGCGCTGTCCGAAGACGTTTCCGTGGTCATGTGGCCGGCATGACTAAACACCAAGGTGCATGGAATGCTGTTACCTTCCCACTGAAGAGGTACCTATTTATCTACTTGCAATGTCTTGCTTTTGAACTGCTAGGTTGGCAGGAGCTGGAACTAGAGATGGTAGCTCACTCCGTCATGCGGCACCCGGGTCTCGAACGGCTGAACTACCGACCTTCCACAGCCTGCAGTTCAGCGTCTTAACCACTTGAGCCACCGCAGCTCCTAGAATTTGCCATGCAGGCAGTCAAAATCCGGAGACAAGCTATTAGCAGTTAGATAGTGAATACTGTACTTAAACAGAGTTTTTTAATTATCTAATAATATTTTAATTTTATTCTAACATTTTAATGTTTGCTGTTCTGGATAGCGTCTGTATTCATGTTACTGTTTTACCGGCTGGTGTCTTTTCGGTTCTTTTACGTATTTGGTAAGTGACCATACTAATAAATTGTTGTTGTTGTATACTAAAGTCTACAAAGGTAATAAAGTCTGCAAAGTCTACAATTCAATTTGATTCCTCTGTAATGTGGATTCATTTTGTACTTAATTCTTGATGGTTTAAAAATTGTACTTCCCTTTGTAGACCTTATGACCTTTGTAGACTTTAGTATGCAAATGTTGCACAATATGAAAATAACTACACACAAGTTTATTTACTTGAGCTTTATTTAGCGTCTTCTTACAGTGCTTCCGCTGTTACTTTGATCCACAAAGGGGTGCTGGAACGACCCAGGTGGGCGGTAGGAGCCCTGGGTGCTAATTTGTCACTGCATCTTTTTGCCCACTTTTTGAAGGTAGATTTACAAGGGGGGCGCCGAGATTTCCTAAAAAGGGGGTGGAAGGCCAAATAAGTTGGGGAGCCTCTGCTTTAGACACTGTGATCCTTCTTATGCCAGCTCCCCAGTGGATGGCATAGAGTCCCTTGCCACCGGCTTCCCACGTAGTATTTTTGGAGGAAATGGGATGGAAAAGGGGTCTCGCAACGCATGATACCCTACGAGCTGGCCCTTTCTGGCTAGGAAGCGACGGGGTAGTAATCTCCTAGGGGAACCTGGCCGATTTATCTACTTGCAATTTCTTGCTTTCGAACTGCTAGGTTGGCAGGAGCTGGAACTAGAGATGGGAGCTCACTCCATCATGCGGCACCCGAGTCTCGAACGGCTGAACTACCAACCTTCCACAGCCTGCAGTTCAGCGTCTTAACCACTTGAGCCACCGCAGCTCCTAGAATTTGCCATGCAGGCAGTCAAAATCCGGAGACAAGCTATTAGCAGTTAGATAGTGAATACTGTACTTAAACAGAGTTTTTTAATTATCTAATAATATTTTAATTTTATTCCTAACATTTTAATGTTTGGTGTTCTGGATAGCCTCTGTATGCATTTTACTGTTTTACTGTTTTACTGGCTGGTGTCTTTTCGGTTCTTTTACGTATTTGGTAAGTGACCATACTAATAAATTGTTGTTGTTGTATACTAAAGTCTACAAAGGTAATAAAGTCTGCAAAGTCTACAATTCAGTTTGATTCCTCTGTAATGTGGATTCATTTTGTACTTAATTCTTGATGGTTTAAAAATTGTACTTCCCTTTGTAGACCTTATGACCTTTGTAGACTTTAGTATGCAAATGTTGCACAATATGAAAATAACTACACACAAGTTTATTTACTTGAGCTTTATTTAGCGTCTTCTTACAGTGCTTCCGCTGTTACTTTGATCCACAAAGGGGCGCTGGAACGACCCAGGTGGGCGGTAGGAGCCCTGGGTGCTAATTTGTCACTGCATCTTTTTGCCCACTTTTTGAAGGTAGATTTACAAGGGGGGCGCCGAGATTTCCTAAAAAGGGGGTGGAAGGCCAAATAAGTTGGGGAGCCTCTGCTTTAGACACTGTGATCCTTCTTATGCCAGCTCCCCAGTGGATGGCATAGAGTCCCTTGCCACCGGCTTCCCACGTAGTATTTTTGGAGGAAATGGGATGGAAAAGGGGTCTCGCAACGCATGATACCCTACGAGCTGGCCCTTTCTGGCTAGGAAGCGACGGGGTAGTAATCTCCTAGGGGAACCTGGCCGCCTGAAGAGCCCAGCTTGGGGGGCTTCAGTCCTGCGGCAGCCCAGGTTGCCCCAAAGCCGCTTCACCTGATCTGTGGACCCGGATCACCCGTCGTGAGGACAGGTAACTTGGCATTAGCGATGTCAGATGTGTACAGCGCTTTGGGCATGCAAAGTGCTAAGGAGCCATTCTCTTTTTCCCCCTTTCCCCACCATTCCTGTGAGGTTCTTAGACAAACCAGGATTTGAACCCAGGGTCTCTGGTCCCCTGCCCGGGGTACACGAAATGCCTCCCACGTCCTGCATTTTATAGTGAGGAGGTACGGCTGGGTCGATTTCCCCTGAAGAGTGGGACACCTGCCAGCCGTTTGAAAAGGAAAGGGGGAGCGTGGGGCAGAGCGCTCGAGATCTCCTGTGGGGGGGTTGGAGGGGGGCAGTGCCTGAGGTGGGGCCCCGGTGGGCCCTGGAGGGGGGTCCTGTGATGCAGGGCTGGCGTCATCATCCCTCTCTCTCCACTCCCCAATAGGCGATAAATCAAAAGCGGGTGAGCTGCAGCCCCCAAAGGAGCTGGACCCATCAGCCCCCAAAGCTACCAATGACTTGGTGCTGCGTCGGGCCCGGCACCAGCAGCTCTCAGGGGACTCTACGGCTGAGAAGCGCAGTCCCCGCACTGGGGGCAAGGTCATCAAATCCGCCTCAGCTACTGCGCTGTCCGTCATTATCCCCACAGGTACGGCCCTCCTCCTCTTGCCCCCCCTCCGCACACCCACCCCCAGACCAGCAGGCACAGCACTGACCCACCACGCTTTGAGCCCGTCTCCTCTTCCAGTGCCCACAAACCACCACTGCCACCACCCTCCAAGCGGCACCACACTCTTCCCCGGAAAGCCCATCCTACCGACACTCTTCCGACCCCTTCTTTTTCCACAGTATCCTTCCTACGTTTCGCCCACCTTGCACAGAACTATACCCTCTCCACCCGACCAGCCGGGTTCAAGGGGACATTCTGATGAAGACTTGTCCAGCCCCCACAGAGGCCATTCGTCCCCATTCCCCTCGCGGGCTGTTTCCCTCCCACAAACGAGCCTCCTGCCGGATCCGTGGCTTGCTTCCCCGCATGCTGCACCCACCCCCTGCTAGAATAAGTCACATAGCTGCTGGGGCTATGTGTATCCTGCGATAAAGACCCTGCTGCCAGGAAAAGGGGGATTCCGCGATCCGCATAAATTATGCAGGCGATGCGTATGTGCACGCTGTCTTTTATTTTGCATGGCCGTTCTGCAGATTCTGCTGTTTTTGCGTAGTTTGTTCCGCTTCTGCTGCTCGTGGGGAAGGGGAAGGTGCTAAACAGGATGCTGAAGGTTCCCCACTCGGCGGTTCCCTCTAGCTTCTGGGATTTCATCCGCTATTGTGCACACCCTTTCAAGACTGCCTTCAGAACCATAAGGACCAGAATCTTGTTTTTCATTTTACATGAAATGTGAGATTCTTAGAACTGTTGCACATATGTGGCCCTGACAGTTGCCCCTCTGTGACCAGGAGTCGGTGCCATGTGCTCAAAACTATGCTCGGAAGGGTAATACGAGGGATCATAGCTCGGCACCATTTCCCCTGTCTAGCTCAAAACATACCCCCAGGCTTCATTTGCCTTTGGGACCACAGGAGGATCTTGTTTTTGCCTTGCTAGACACTCGTCCCGAAGTACTGCTGTCAAAGACGCAGGCCCACCTCCCTCGTTTTACCCCCAAACGAGTCCTCCCTGCTTGAGGGTCTGGACCACGGGCTGGGAAACGACTCAGTCATCCAAGTTTGGAAGCCTCCCCTAGGCTAGCCATAGGGACCAGAGAGCGACAGTGGGCTTGAGCAAGGCAGGTTGGGAGTCCAGACTCCTGGGTTTTGTTGACCGTTTGGGGAGGCCAGAGGCGCTGCTCGGGGTTTACGCCGCACAGCTGCAGAGGCCTTCCTGCTTACCCTTTGTCCTTCTCTCCTGACAGTGGAACAGCACAGCAGCTCCCCCTTGGCCAGCCCCATGTCCCCCAGGTCGCTCTCCTCTAACCCGTCCTCCCGAGATTCTTCGCCGTCACGGGACTATTCGCCAGCGGTCACCAGCCTGCGCTCGCCCATTACTATCCAGCGCTCCGGGAAGAAGTACGGTTTCACACTGCGCGCCATCCGAGTGTACATGGGGGACAGTGACGTCTACAGCGTACATCACATTGTTTGGGTAAGCATGCCTGACACAAGGGTAAACGCGCCTAGCACAAGAGCCCGCCGCTCATAACAGTTTTCCCTGCGCGGACCCGTGGGTGAAGTAAGAGTCCAGGTCTCACGGGGGTCCGTGCTGAATCGGCCCCAACGGGCCCCCCGCAGCTTGGTGGTCACTTGAGGCCTCTCCCCTCCGAAAAGGCTGAAGAGCCGTTCTGCCCCAATCTGTTCCGCATCCTGTGGATCAGGATCCTTGGGCACAGTTTCAGTGTCCTGATCCTTGGGCACAGTCTCATTGCCCTGATCCTCGTGGTGGAGTTGGTTCTCCTCCTCGAGGTTGCGTTCCTCGCCATCGCTCATCTCAGCTGAGAGAATCGAGTCGAAGAACGAATGATTCCTGACACTTTGTCAAGGTCGTCAGGTCACACCACACAGGGCTTCATAAGAAGATAAGTGTTTATCGATAGATCCAGTACTAATGATCACATATACAGCTTGTGTCAGGAATGGCCGTCAGTATAAGGGCCTCTGACGTATAGTGAATTCAAACATCCCCCCCCCCAATGAGCAGAAGCCAGTGATTATAGTTCGCATGCGCGGCAAAGCAAGCAAGCATAGCCAAAAAAGCCGTTGGGTTCCCAGCAGAGTAAATGCAGCTGGAGACTACAAGGTCAAGCCTGAGATAGCGCACAGTGGCTGGACAGGGCAGAGCTGAGAACGAGGAGGAGAAAACCCCCTCCACATTCCAAATCCATGACAGGGCTGACAGGGGTGCTGGGGGGTCAGGAGACGGCCCTGCCATCAGCTCAGATCCATGACAGGGCTACCTGACAACCGGCGGCGCTCGGCAAAACGGGGGTGCCGGGAGGGGTCAGGAGACGGCCCTTCCATCAGGTCTGCGTCTTTTCCCGGCAGCACGTGGAGGAAGGCGGTCCGGCTCACGAGGCGGGTCTGTGCGCAGGAGACCTCATCACCCACGTCAACGGCGAGCCGGTGCATGGGCTGGTGCACACCGAAGTGGTCGAGCTCATCCTGAAGGTATGTACCAATCAGGCGGGCGGTTGCCGGTCTGCCACAGACAGTTGCCGGTCTGCCACTGATATCTCTCCGTCCGCTACGGGCTCGGCACATAGGGCTTCTGCTTCAGTCTCACAGCCCTCCTCTTTCACCTTCCCCTAGAGCGGGAATAAGGTGATGGTGACCACCACCCCCTTTGAGAACACCTCCATCCGGATTGGGCCGGCCCGCAAGAGCAGCTACAAGTCCAAGATGGCCAGGAGGAACAAGAGGAGCACCACCAAAGAAGGCCAGGAGAGGTGAGGAGGACCAAAACGAGGGAGGGGGCCGTAGCTCAGCAGGGGAGCACTTGCTTGGCATGCCGAAGGTCCCAGGTTCAGGTACCAACATCTCCAGTGAAAAAGGACCAGGTGATGTGAAAGAGCCGCTGCCAGTCAGAGTGGGCAACATTTATTTGTTTGTTCGTTAGATTTTTTATCCTGCCCTCCCGGCCTAGGGCAGCTTGCAAACAGAATGAAATCCCAATAATACAGTCACATAAAAGCACATAAATTAATAAATACAGTGTTAAAAACTAAGACATGATAAAGTACTAGAAACATTCCTCATTTTACAGTTAGCGCTTTGGCCTTCGGCGGCTGTCACAGGCAGCGTTTAAGAGACCAGCGGGCCAGGGTTCCGCCAGCATAGATATTAGTGGTTGGCGGGTAGAGGTATTCGTGGCGGCGGCTCCAAAGGCCTGGCGGAAGAGCTCCGTTTTACAGGCCCTGCGGAACTGCGAGAGGTCCTGCCGGGGCCTGATCTCCTCTGGGAGCTCGTTCCACCAGACCGGAGCCGCCACCGAAAAGGCCCTAGCCCTAGTTATCACCAGTCTGGCCTCCTTGAAACTCGGGAGAGCCAGCCGATTCTGGGTCCCAGACGACTGCGTCCTCTGGGGTACGTGTGGAGAAAGGCAGTCGAAATACTGACATTGCTGGACCCTGATGGTCTGAATCGATACAAGGCAGCGTCATCCGCAGAAGGGTGGGCTCAAGGAAGGGGGCATTCCAGTCGTGGAGCAAAGGGTGCTGGGGGAATCCATGCCCCCGGATTTAACTCCCCCGTTCCTCCTTCCTCCCGCAGCAAGAAGCGCAGCTCCTTGTTCCGCAAGATCACCAAGCAGTCGAACCTGCTGCACACCAGCCGCAGCTTGTCGTCGCTGAATCGTTCTCTGTCCTCCAGCGACAGCCTGCCCGGCTCGCCCACCCATGGCTTGGGTGCCCGGTCGCCCACCCAGAGCCTGCGCTCCACCCCGGACTCTGCCTACCTAGGTAGGGAGCCTAGGACGGCGGGAAGCAGCGGAGGGCTGTCCGCTCCGGCGGGTAGGAAGGCCAACCCTCTTCTTCTCTTTGTCTCCCTCGCAGGTGCTTCTTCGCAGAGCAGCTCCCCCGCCTCCAGCACCCCCAACTCACCGGCCACCTCGTCCCACCACATGCGCCCCAGCACTCTGCACGGCCTGTCCCCGAAGCTGCACCGCCAGTATCGCTCCGCCCGCTGCAAGTCGGCTGGGAACATACCCCTCTCCCCGCTGGCCCACACGCCCTCCCCCACACAGTCCTCGCCGCCACCCCTGCCCGGCCACACCGTGGGCAGCTCCAACACGACCCAGAGCTTCCCGGCCAAGCTGCACTCCTCTCCCCCCGTGGTGCGGCCCCGGCCGAAGAGCGCCGAGCCCCCTCGCTCGCCCCTCCTGAAGCGGGTGCAGTCGGCAGAAAAGCTGGGCTCCCCGCTCGGCTCCGAGAAGAAAGTGGTGGTGAGGAAGCACAGCCTGGAGGTGGTGCACTCGGAATACCGCAAGGACTTCTACGGCGAGCCCGGCCTCCACAGCCTGGCCGAGTCGGACGGGGAGAGCCCCAGCGAGTCCGGCGCTCCAAAGCCGCTGGCCACCAGGCGCCTCGGCCGGCAGGAATCCCCGCTGAGTTTCGGAGCTGCCGACGGGGAGGCCCCCACAGAAACCGGCGCCAAGGCCAGGGGGCCAGAATCTGTTCTCGGAGACTGCAGGCGAAGCCAAGCCGTGCAAACGGAGGAGGCGTTTGCCGGAGCGAATCGGGCCCTGGCTAAAGCCCTGAGCCCCGTGCAGGAGCATGAGCAAGGCAGGAAGGGCAGTGCCGAGGCAGAGGTGGCCCCGCGGGGGCCGGTCCCCATCGTGCTGGAGCCCAAGAAGAGCCAAGAGCACAGCCTGCCGGGCAAGCCGCCTCCGGAGCCCTCCCAAGACAAGGCCGGGTCGCCCAAGGAGAAGTGGATCTTGGAGGTGGTGGAGGAGCACACCACGCTGGGGACCTGCGCCAAAACCCCCAGTTGCCTGTGCCCGGAGGGGACCAAGAACGGACTGAAGCGAGCCTCGTCGGAGGCGAAGGCCAAGCGGGGCAAAGAAGAGGTGCCTGTGTTGGGGTCGGGGGGCAAGTGCGCAGGAGACACCCCCCGGCCCTCGCCTCCTACACTGGAAAAAAAGGGGGCGGCGCACTGAAGGATCGGGGTTGCCTTTCCCTGTACTGGCCGCCAGGACCAAACCCCCAGAACCCCTTCCTAGTCTCTGCCTTCCAGCTCAGCGCTGGTAGGGTAGCAAGGAGCCACGTCGTCAGCATCGAAGGGGCCTGGCCTTGACCTACTTGTACATATCTCAGCCCCCCCTCCGCCACACACCCCTCCCCTAGCCATCTCCCCGTGAATGGCATGTCCTGTGTTAGGCCTTGTAAAGTACCTATACATATCTCCCTCTATATATATTATATTATATTATTTATATAAATATATATAAATATATATATATATACGAGCAAGACTGTGCTATACCTGAAAAGGTTAATACTGTGATCACTTCCCCCCCCTCCCCACCCGTGCTTCAGGCTACTCCTTTGTACAACGAAAGGGGACGGATCCACAAGAGAAGGATATTAACAACTCGGAAGACGTACAGAAAGCCTAAGGTTGACCGCAGAAGATTTCGTTTCACTCGCAAAAGTTCAAAAAAAAACACGAATTCTCGTCCTCGTCGCCTCGGGATCTCTGCACGCAAAGCCAGCGGTGTCCAAATCGTCGTGTGAATTTGTCATTGATTCGTCTGGGATTTGGACGTGGCAGAGGGCCCCGGGGAGGGGGCAGCGTAGCTCCAACACAAGATAGCGTGAGCGCCCCCCATCCCCGGTTGCACCACCAGGTGGTTGTGCCGGCGAGTTCCATCTTTCGCAACCAGAGCGAGCATGCCGATCCAGCTCACTTCTTGCCTGCCGCGGGGGAGCTAGAAGAGTTGGCAGAAGCCTCTAGTCTGTTGTTTTGCTCCCCAAGTGACAGGGGAAATGAGGATGAAGTTACGACATCCCGCTAAAGTGGGCCGTTGAAATATCAGAGCGGCGTCTCTTGCCAAACCGGTTGGGTCATCCGTCCGCTCCAGTGCTTGCAAACCTGTTCCAAACTCAGAGAGGATTTGTATCTGATGCCTGAAAGATCGACCTTGCTTCCAGCCCTTGAAAAGCCCAAGTCCAAGCCTTCCCATGAAGACGGAAAGGTCAGGCGGTGGCTTTGGGGGCCCCCCCAATAAAGGTAGGCGAGCGGGAGACAGACGTGATCCACGAGGCACAATCCCCCGCAAGTTCCTTCGTGCAAAGGATTTGTTCCAGTAGGCCTCAAATAACGTGTGAAGCAGTGGAAGGAGATGCATTTTGGATGTTCGCAGCAGCCACGGCATCATGGGCTGGCCCCGGTGATCCCTAAAAGAGAGGAAGCACACTGTCTCCCCGAATGTTGTACTCTCCTGACGGCTCCCCACCTCCTCACAGGGCCCTTTGTGAGCCTCGTGTTTTTCATTCGGGCTCAGCGAATCACACCTGCCAGCGGAATCTTGGACTGTGAGTGCCAACGCTTCCAAAAACTCTCATTAAAGTTGGCTTGAGAAATAGGCACACGATAGTGCATCACGCACTCCTGGTGACAAAGGAGCAGGTCCGTTTGAGGTGGTGGGGGATGTTCCCAAACGGCTGCTCATGACTTTATTGTTATTATTTTCCTGGTCCCAGGAAACCTCAGAACAGCTTAGATGGGGGTGGGTCGTAGCGGTCCAGAAACTGATCTTACCTGCCCACACTTCGTATCAAAAACGCGATGGCAGCGGGTGCGCCCAAGCTGTCCGGTGGGCCTGCCGTGAATGTAGATTGAAGGGAGGGGTGTGTGTATGTGTTTGTGTGAATTAGCCCCTGGCGGTGGCATTACAAGTGATAGGCCTGTAAGTCAGCAGTTGGTATTTAGGAGTAGAACCATGACTTAGGAGCATGGCCTACCACTGTTAAATATGGTTCTGTTTACAATTCAGGGTTACCAGGACGCCTGAACGAACTTCGAGTCCCGTAGCAACGTAAAGACTGACAACATTTCCCAAGGGCTAAGCTAATTCATTAATAATTGTTGTATGGCATTGTGTGTAGCCAGGAGATCTGGCGACTGTCTGGCAGCCTTAAGCATTATGCACCACTAGGTGGCGAGCTAGACTTCATTTGGGGGCTGAAAGAGCTGTGATTGACGCAGGGTCACCTAACTGGCTTCATGTGGAGGCATGCAGAATCAAACCCGCTTCTTCAGATTAGAGTCCATCACTCTTAACCACTACACCACGCTGACTCTCTAGGGCTCAGCTTCTTGTGATCTTTGACTCGTGAAAGGTTATCCCCTGGAAAATGTCTGGAAAAGGTGCGGCTGGACTCGAAATTTCGTTCTGCTGCTACACACTAACTCGGCTTCCCACCCGACTCAGATCTTGACAGAGGGAGGCGAAGCGAAAGCGAGAGGACTGGCAACTCTGTGGGAACTCGGGGAGATTTGGGGGTGCAACCTGGAGAGGGTGGAGTTTAGGGAGGGAAAGGACTTCGGCAGGGTATAATACCACAGAGTCCACGCTTCACAGCCGCTATTTTCTCTAGGGGAACTGATCTTTAGAAATCAGTTGTGGTTCCAGGAGATCTGGCCTGGCCTAAAAAGCAATGATTCTCATACCAAGCTCTACCAGCCACATGTAGTATCTAGCCGGTGTGTGTGCGTGTGAGTGTGCGTACATGATGCCTCTCATTTTTAAGCATCAGACAGAGGAAGCTGTGATTTGGGATTAGACCAATGAGAAAACATCGCCCCTCTGGGCCATCTCCTTTGCCTGGAGACCCTGAGAAGGTCTTTGTCCCTGCAACCGGACAACCCTACTACAACTACCATGATCACGCCGTGCCCGTTAGGATGACACCAAACACAGTCTCGGCGGTAACTCCACTGCACTGACGCCACTTCTGCCTGGTCCATCTCTCGCTGCCTTTCCTGATGGCGCGCTCCCACTCCGGTTACCTCTGAAGGGAGAGAGAGACACTCTATGCAATCACAAGCCAACGGCAGATGCCTCCCCCCCCCCATCCCATTCCCTCTTGTCCATACAACAAGGGACGTCAGTGGTCATCTTTCTGATCTGCCCCGACAGCAACTTGGGTTTCCGACAGAGATCTGGACCCAGAGACACCGGATTCGCTTGCTACTTCCGGGTGGGGTGGGGGATCGCACGGAGTTCCGGGGGAAGGTCAGTTCTTCCTCTTGAACTCTCACGACCGTCTCAAAACACGTCTTTCCACGCGGGGGCCCACACGAGGCTTGCACAACTGGCCACCTGCTTGCCACGGATCGCAGCGTCAAGGCCTCTATGTTTGTGTGGACATGCATGAAGTGTGTGCGTCAAGTAGCTGTAAAAGTCACGGTAGGTGGCTTGTGGTAGACTGCACGGGGGAACTGCGGGGACGCAAGCCGTGCAGGCCGGCTCCATGTGCATTCTCTCCTCGTCCCCAAATCCTTGCCATCTGGTGCACTGCTCCGAGCGGGCCTGCCAGATGCAGCGAATGTCATTTGAGAACCAGAGGGTGGGTGGAACTCTTCCCCTGGAGAGGAGAGGAAAGATTTATCGGTAAGATAAATCTTCTCCCCTAATCTGGAGCCGCTGTATCCATAGCCCCCCCCCCAGGGAGCGAAGCGCTTGGAAAGCAAAGAGAGAAGACTCCAGCAAACTGTCACGGGTGCGCACATGTTTGCAGATGTTGTGGCCCCTCAAGATCCGACTTGCACGAGAGCTTGGTGAGGGACCCCCACCAGGTTGACGTCTCTTGTGTATTGTGGTCATTAGCCTGTCTCCCACTGCCCGCGCGAGGAGACCGTTTTCTGCCTGCAGGGGTGACCCGTGGCCTTTGTAACTCTTTGCAGGCTGATCAAGGCAGACATTGTCATGTTAATAAACCAACCTGTACAGCCTGTCTGGTTCTTCACCTTTTGTGTCTCGTCGTAGCTTCTTGGCCGCGTGGGAATCGGGGTGGGCGTACGATGGAGACTGGTCGTGATGCGGTGAGGCCGTTTTATCCTCTTATGCTATCCCTGCTTTAGAAGCCAATGTATCCTTCAGATGTGAACCCCTCGACAGCTACCCTGAAGGCGATGTGGGGAGCAACGCGAGGGGGGGGGGATTCACTCATCCCACTGTGCGAATTCCGGAAAAGGAAGCCAGGCCAAGATGAGCAGGATTGGGCGGAAGGAAAAGGAATCCCCAGTCTCCCTGACGGTCTAAAATGCAGTTATAAGCAATTTGAGGTGTTCCAGTTGGCAGCAGAGGAGAGGACCCTAAGCAACGGGTTTAAATTACATGCAGAAAGGTATCGGCTGGATATCAGGAAAAACTTTTTCACGGTCAGAGTGGTTCAAAGGTGGAACCAGCTGCCTAGGGAGGTGGTGAGCTCCCCTTCCCTGGCAGCTTTCAAGAAGAGGCTGGGTGAATATTTGTCAGAGATGCTTTAGGCTGGTCCTGTGTTGGGCAGGGGGTTGGAGTAGATGGCCTCTATGGCCCCTTCCAACTCTGTGATTTTATGATTCTAACAGTGGCCCCAGCTAAGTGTGAGCAAAGGAAGGCCTTCTGAGCTGGGAGGATTATTTGTTTAAAACTTTTATTCCATGTGTTAATCACTCTTTGGGTGAAGTAGGACTTCCTTTTACCTGTTACTAACCCGACCGTTCAGCCATTTCATGGAGTGCCCACAAGGAGTTCTTGTCTTGTGAGAAAGGGAGAAAAGGACCTCTTTCTCGATCTGCTCCATCCCACACATAATCTTATAAAACTCGATCAGGTCACCCCTCAGCCGTCGTTTCTCCAAGCTAAAGAGGCCCAGGCGTTTTAACCTTTCTTCATCGGGAAAGTGTTCCAACCCTTTGATCATTCGAGTTCAAACGCGGTCCAAAACAGAACCGTCTTCCCCGTTTCTTCACAGGGTTCCCCTGTGCCCGACTTCCTTCTCCTGCCCTGGGGCCTCCTCGGATAGGCCTGGAATCCTTCCAGCAGCCTCCAACCTGATAGTTACATAATAGCCGGGGCATTGTGCCAGGAGGTTAGTGTTACAAACAAGGCAGCCATTGCGCACGTGAGGCCTGTCTCACACGGCCCTGTACGCCCGGACGAGGAAACCA